TTCCATGTTCCAATCACTAGGGTCTGTTTACAATTGTTCCTCCTCCTTTGTATTTCCATACTTGATAGTTCTACCTAGGTTGCCCTTTCTGTTAGTCTGCGTGTGTTCTGTTTTGCATAGGGTTTTCAGAGGCCTGCCGTTTTCAGAAGTGGATGGCCAATCCTTCTTCCTAGTCTATCTTAATCTGAATGTTTAGACTTAGAGGAGTATCTGGCAGACAGCAATTTGTGGAGTAGTGAAAGACAAATCCCTCATTTTGGAGTTGACCATTAGTTACAGTGTAGTCCCTGCCCTTAGCCCAGTGCCTTGACCCACTTATTTCCCAGCTCCACCCTCCAGCAGGATACCACTTCACTTCTACCAAATGCCTTCAGAATTAATGTCCCATTGTCTGACCCATGACTTGACAGCTTGTCAGAGAGATTTTTTTTCCTGTGTCCAGTGTCTTTTAAGTTTACTTGTAATGTCTCCGAAGGGAAGGTGATGTATCCTGTAGAACTCCTGTATAGATTGTGTTTTCCTTCTTGGCCCAAGGGCCTGTGGCCCTCGGGCCCAACCAGTTTAGGCTCCACCTTGGGGCTTGTTACCTGGAGGCATGTAATAATAATAGCAAAAAATAAAACCCAACAAACCCAGAATGCCAAACCCAGAATTCAAAACTCTTACCAAGCTACCCTCAAAAGGGTAATTAACTTTATAAAGAACAACGTATGGGAATGATAGCATGAGATACAATGTGAATGAATGTGTGAAATACAAAGTATATGAATTAAATACAGTGTATACAAATTTTGTTTGCAAACCAATATAAATTAAAAATAATTTTTTTAAAAAGTGAACTGGGGTGGGGCTAGGAAGGAAAATGTGCTACAATAAATAAAACTTTTCTGAAAAATGGAAAAAAATAATAAAAAGGAGGTATCTTAAATAATCCTTCCCCCAAGAAATCTTCATGGTAAAGTTTTTCAGCTTCCTCTGAAAAACCAGTAAACCCTTTGCCTGGTATAGGCCCTTTATCTAAACTGTCCTTTTCTCAATTCATCCTGGACACATAGACAGAACCCTACTCAAATTCTTCACACCAGAGCATGAATACGCTTATAATATTTAAGGTCTGGTGGCCTAGTAGTTAGGAGCTGCACTGTCAGTGAAAGCACATGGATCAATCTACCACCTGATCCACAAGAGAGAGTGGGTAAACTCCTCCTGTATAATTTATTGCCTCTGAACACCTGCTGGAAGATCACCTATGGTTCAGTTGCAACTCAGTGTTATAACAACAACAGTAATAATGACAGATTGGTCTCAATGCTAATCTGATCATATCACTCCTTTTTTCAAAATCTCTGTGTCATGGATTGAATTGGAAGCCCCCAAAATATCTGGATCCAATGATAGAATGGGGAAGCTATGTAATGATTCCTCATTCCTTGATAAATCAGTGTAAAAGGAATATGGGTAGAATATAATATCTCATAATCCCATTATATCACTGACTCAATGTAGAGGAAGCTTCCCCAGCATATGGCCTATAATACCTTTTATCTCATTAGAGAAATAAAGGGATGAAAGTGAACTGAGGGGAAGGAAAATTATCAGAAGAGGATCGCATTGTCTCTACACTGACAGAGAGAGTGTCTTTCCCTAGAGCTGACACTGTGGATTTGGATGTAAAGCCGTCTAAACTGTAGGAGAATAAATTTCTGTTCAAGACATCCTTTTGCAGTATATTTGTTATAGCAGCACTAGATAACAAGGATGTCCTCTATGTCTGCTTCTGCCTTTAGGGTGAGCCCCTAACTCTTAAGCAAGGCCTCTTCCCTGTCACTCTCCCCTGCCCATACCCTTCAGGCACCAGTCTGCCTCAGAGCACTCCAGCACTCCTTGCTTTCTCAGATCCAGTCTCTCTGTTCAGTTATCCCTCCCATGTACAAATGTCTTATCAGGGCATTCACAGTCATTTTTCAAGTCTCTGCTCAATCAATTGCCTCCTCTGTGAAGCCCTCCCTGACCACCTCAGGCTGTCTCCAGGGCTCCCCCCACTCCTGAGCAGTCACCCCAGAGGACTCTAAGCTTTTGTGTGCTTCCCTTGATCTTGTTTCCTGATACAGTGATTGGGGGGTGAGGGGACAAAACCAAAACTGAATATTGTTAATGTCATTAGTTGCCTTTGTGTTGTTTCTAATTCACAAGGATCCCCACATGTGCAGGGCTTTCAAAGCTGAGACCTATCAAAGCAGATTGCCAGGCCTTACTTCCAAGGTGTCTCTGCGTGGATTACATCTTCAACCTTGGTTAGAAACAGCATATCTAGCCAATGCCACTCTTAAGTGTTACCTACTATTATTATCAGTTATAACAGGAGCTCAGTAAATGTGGCATTGATGTAATAAACTTACAATTCCCTTTGTCTCTGAGTCGTCTGCAAAATTAAACTCCAATTTGACCTTCTGTCAGAGTCCTGTCTAAACCACAAATTATCTAGCTCTCTCAGTGTCCTTCCTAAGGCTAAGGTACATAGCTCAGCTCTCCACTGTTTCATGAACTGCTTTCTCTGTGAATAGTCACATGCTCCTTCCATGCTGGGAATTTTTTTTCTGCTGAAACTGTGAGGGGATGAGCCTGGGAGAAAGGAGTTTGGAATGTAGTTACTGTGTGTGGTTTGGAGCTGGCTGGAAGCCAGAACAAGAAAGGACAAAGGCACTCATTCAGGGAGTTTGCAACCTTCTCTAAACTCCAGGAATTCGTACAACTCACTACCCAGATAGACCATCAATAACTACTAGCATTTTCTAAGCACAAGTACACTAAAGAAATAAAGAGCAGTTCCACCACAGAGCCACTCAGAACATCAGATTCTTTATCCATAAAAGATCAAATGGGCAAATGAAAAGAAATAATGGACAGACAGTCCCACTTTTCTATCATTGACAACATATATGTAACACAATATGAGTCAATTTAGAGTTTAGCCTCTGTACCTTTTCATGTCATGAGTTAAATTAATCATGTTATGCAACTAATATCCCTTGCCACACTTCCATCACCACAAACAGAAACTCACTTGTTAAGCTTGCAAGGTTATTCAACCACTATCAGTAATATGTGCTCAGCCTTACTGGCACACGTTGAAGGCCTCCGTCTGCTGTTGCCAGTTTCCTTACGTTCTTATCAGTCACCAAAAAAGTAAAGTGACAAGAACAGATCCTCGGGTGTTTGCTAGTGGTCTCTAGTGTTGGAAAGACTTTCTCTGGGCCTGGGATTTCCTTTTCTCCTCTCTCCTTGGCCATCTCTCTTCAAGCTTCTGAGGGAAGGAAGGGTCTGTTCTTGAACTCTGACATCTCGCACTGCCGCACCCTCATCTGGGGCACCCTAGCCCAGGCTCCTGCGTACCTGAGGGGCCCGCGATACCCTCTAGCCCAGAGTCCTGCCTTACCTGTCCCTAAGGTGGCCGCTGCGCAGCCCCATGGGAGTGCACTCGGCCTCGCTCACTGTCACCCCTTTGCAGGACTTGACCGGGTAGATGCACAGCTGCGACACGGTGCCCACCTGCCGCAGTTGCTTGCGCCTCTGGGGTCGTGCGCAGCGCCAGGCCAAGGTGCCCAGCGCCACCGCGGCCAGTCCCAGCGCAGCGACCCCGAGCCACCGGGGCCTGGGCTGCGCGGAGAGGCGCTGCGCGGGGAGGCCGAGGAGGACCAGGGCAGACGAGCCTGCGGCGCCCATGGCCAAGCGCTGCGGACGCGGAAGAAGCTGTGACCCGCCTGGCACCGAGAAGGCTGAGGCGGTCGTGCACCCGAGGACACCCGGGAGGCGCGGCCTTGGGCCCGAGCCTGCAGCGAGGGCGCTCCGAAGCCCTTCGGGGCCGACTCGGAGCCTGGCGTCCTGCTCCTGGGCCCCACGCGCTCAGGGTGTCCAGGCCCACTCGTCTCCCTCACTTCCTCCCTGCAAGGTGGGTGCTTCCCCCACGACTTCGCCCGTGCAAGCGATTGATTTCTTTATATGTTTGGTTTGTGGGTTTATTTATTTTACCAAAAGAAACACATCATCGCATTACAAAGGGGTGGGGTTTCGACACCAGAAACCAGGCCGCTGGCTCAGGGATGGCTTAGGAGGGCAGGCGCCGCCGCCTGGAGCAGTGTTGGGCTGTCCTGGGAGTTGGGGCCCCTCACAGGACCACCAGACGCTGGGGCGCAGTGGGAGGGGGCGTCAGGGCTGTGCCATGGTGCGCTCCGGAGCACATAGAGGCTGCAACCTACACAAGGCCCTCGGAGCAAATGTCACGAGCCCTGCAGACACTGACCCCAGACACCGGTCACTTCCAGATCAGGCCGTGTTTCAAGCAAAGAAAGGTCAAATAGGGTGTGTGCTTCGTTGTGCAGGGCACAACTGTTGATCACGCAGGGAACGACCAAAGAGGGTAAGATTTGGAAAGAGGCAACCACGCAGATGCCTTACACTGAAGAATAGCACGGTCCCCAAAGACGAAGGAACCCATCACTGCTCAGCTAAGAGATCCTGCCTTGAACATTGCTCCTCAACATAAGGGTTTAGGTTAGGTCTGATGATATTTTATCCTCTTTCAGCTTCAAGTCACCCTTCTTCCTCTGCCAGCTCCCAGAAAACACAGCGTTTGAATTTGTTTCGGGTTGATGACACATCCTTTTCTAGAGATGAGCTGGAGGGAGAAGGAGTTTGGGTATACATGGAGCACCCTGTCCCTGGGAGAAATGTACATCAATGGATGGCAAGTGTCCTTCTTGTTGTTATGTGCCATCTAGTCACCGGTGACTCATAACAACCTTAAGTTCAATAACTCTGAAGCCTACCCAATCCTGAACCAGTCTCACCATTTCTGACACACCTACCCCCATTACTCCAGTCACTGTGTCAATCCAT